GCTCACCACGCACGCCAAAGATTTTACATGAAATCGAGGGTGCAGTTCAAATTCCCCACCCCTAAAGCATGGGGATCAAATTCCCCACCCCCTGAAAGACTCTGATCATCAAATTCTCTCCTCCCCGGGACGGCAAAGATGTCAAATGCCTGGGGTATGCCCGGGGGCATGTTGAAGCTTCGATTTGACCGATACATAAGAGTGATTTATTTGTGCAAGGATACAAAATGATGGAGTGATACTAGAATTTACACTGTAGTGCATAGTACCATGTATAATTTTTTTGTTTTGCCTATTTGATTGGAAGTCCATTTCTGTGAAAAATCACCTTTGTTATAAAGGTTGGAAAGATTTCTGCATCACCCTATACATCAATTTTACATGCACCACTGTCATACTAACCCTGTTTCAAAAAAAGGGAGAGAAAGAATAGAGATTGAGTTGCAAAATGTACACCTAATTAATGTTGGAAAAGGAACACTGGATAAATGGACATGATAATGGCTGCGAGGTTAAGAAGGAGGTCTGGGATGGAGCCAGATTTGCAGAACCAGCTTGGTTTTGGAATCCTGACGAAAGGTGGTTTTTGCCTGCAAGATGTATCAAACATGGATGTAAAAATGTTTTTGGTGCAGAGGGCGTAATACAGGCCCCTAATCAGCTTGATGGAATGAAAGAGTTGTACTGTGACTGCTGCTGTACCAGATTTGATCATCATCCTGAGTATGCTAATGGTGACCCACGGAACATTGCCTATATAGGTAAGATAATTTTTGATAAGTGTGATGTACATTATTTGAATGAAATAGGCATTTTTTTCAAAATACTTTATCCTTCTTCAACTGCAACAAAACAAGGATCTTGTTATATGTTTGTTCAACATCCTTTCTCGTCAATAACAAAAAAAATTGTTGTCGAATACCTTTCCATTGCAATGTAAATGTATATGACTCTCAGTTACATTTTCTTCAATACTATTTTCATTATGTTTAATGATGCTTTTTGCTTCTTTGTGTTGTTCAACTTTAAAATGACCAATCACTATTGTAATTATTTTTAGTTTCAACTTAAATAATCTTAAGGCCACTGGGATGGCTTTCAGCCATTTGGAAGGAAATCACGCATTACTGGTGAGTTCTTAACTGAACCTATTCAAATCTTATCGGGCACTCATGGTTCATGATATTCTATGAATGAAAAGTATTGTGATGGTCATGGTTACAGATGAATGCACGATTTATTTAGCATAAAATGTTCATCAATTGAAGTAAATTCTGATCACCCAAGATCCTGCATATAGACAGGAGCCAACAGCTGGGATTTGATCAACTACCCAGTACTGACAATGATGTGTATGCTATGTACAATAGGTGCAATAGATGTGTCAGTGGCAACAATGAAAAAGGAAGAACGCTTACAGACAGGTGAAGTTTACACAGTTGGATTTGTGCCATCTTATGATCTGCCTGATAAACGGCCAAATTCTATAGATCCTTTTCTTGAGCCACTTGTCAGTGATATTGACAATGGATTTATCGAATGTAAAAATTTAAAATTTAGGTGCAAATATTTACTACTTGTTACTGTATGAATGAGTCAAGAAAATACATTTTTAATGGGGAAATATTTTTGATACTATGTCATTGAAACGTGCCTTTTTAGAGCTTTACAATAATATTATCTTAGTCTTCTGCAAATACTTAGTTAAAATGCTGAAAAAAAGTATTTGACAGGACTTGTTGAGACTCAACACACACAGGATGGGATCAGTGACATCAGGAATGTGGGCCAAGAACTGATGGCAGTGTCATCTTCATTTCTGCTAACCTGAACCAAACGCTTCCAAATAAGACTGTCTTTACATCTTGTCTTTAAGATACCAAGTGAATTATGCAGGATCACTTCCAAACTTTCCACCTGCTAATATCACAATTCGACACATTATACTGCTTTGGACAGGGGACCATCCTGCACAGTGTGAGGTTTGCAAGACTAGGGGTGCTGGAGCCAGAAAAGGATGTTGGAGATGTCATTTTTGTTGTAGGTTGTGAAAGGTGAAGACAGCACAAGTTTATGGTCCTATTCTTTTCAGTCTACATGTATGTACTAGCTGGTAGTGTATTCTCTCAATATTCTAATGAGTATTGAAAACATGCAGCATTATACACTTTATCTCTGTTAACTAGTACCGACGCATTATTTGTTGGTTACTCCATGTAGGTACATGGTTGATCGAACACAATCACAACTACTACCCAAACAATACAGATTCCCTTATCAAAAGAGGGAGGAATTGCCGGTAATGAAGGAATTAAAAGAGGAAGAAAGACCTACCCATTTCCAAAGGATAAGTAAGGCTTTATGCCCTTTATGGGGTTGATGTTCTCAGGGACTCAGTCTTTCATGCTATGCAGCTTTTGCCTCTCAATGTGGTCAAGAATAACATTGAGCAATGGATTTCTAAAGGCTCTTTGGACAAAAAGGACCTTGATGCCAACTT